ACTATAGTTTGATTATAATAAATATTTTTTTTTCAATGCTAGAATGAAAGAAAGGTTTTTAAAATTAATTATTGCTTTGTAACAAAGAAAAATAGTTCACTTTATTTGAGCTAAAACAATATTTAACTAACCACAAGCATAAAATCGTAATTAACCTGGTGGCCACATTGGTACGTTTGCATGGAGCAAGAAGCACGGTTGCTGAGCGGTTCAGTGAGCGCGTGAGCTAATATGTTTCCGGTCGCTGAGTACTTACACCGCACCGCGACTCTTAAACGTATTCAACATGTAAGCTTTTATTACCAATCTAAACTGCTGCACTAAACATGCAAATTTAATGTGACTTTTTTTGTATCTACAAAAAAATTGTTTGCTATGAAATGTTCCAAAAGCCAATCGGCGATCTCTATGCCCGTTTGGTACCACGATGCAATCGTGTTATTAAATCTCCAAAAGGTCATCACGGAAGCAGAGGACTAAATGGGCATGTGAAAAAAAAATTACAATTTTCTTTTGGCTTATCTCATTATTTCATTTCATTTGACGAGCAACTTTGCTTAATTGCGTAAAAATTTGCGCTAATGCCCGTTTTACATGTATAACTTGATCCTTGCGATTATTCACCTGGTTATGAAACAAATTACAAGTTAAAATTGAGTATGCGAGTAAACTAGAATTTGGTCACCTTGACCGTTACTTTGGTGGTTCAAGCTTACCGCTTGAAATATTTTAACATTCATTATTCAGTCAAAATTTAGTTATACACTGCTTAGTAAGTTCCTATGTAGAGCTTCAACGAGGAAAAGAAAGAAATGCTCGGGTCCATTTCTTTCTCCCTTTCGTTCATGATCTGAGTCAAACAAATTTAATTAATAAAATAACTACTTTACACTATATTGTTGGTGGTTTCTCTTTAGAGTTCAAGCGTGCAGTCGGAGCGTCGCACGTATATTATTAGATAGCTAGCGGAGTTTCTTCGGCATCGGGCGGGATGTTTAGTCAATTACCTGGTTGACTACTGCCCGCGGGAGTGCGATTCGCGCGCCAAAGCTAACCGCTACCTGACGTAACGTTACGCAGCCGCGGCGCCGGCGTCGCCTCGCCGTTGGCGGCCGCTCTTGTGCAACTCGTGGGCGCAGCGCTACCATCACGCACCATACGCAAGTTGCGACGTAGATCGCGCGAGATGAGGCCGGAGATGGCACACTCAAAGTATTCAAAATCGCACAGAAAATGCGACCGAGGCCGCCGATTATCATCGCTTGCAGTGCTATGAATAAACATGAGGCTAATTCCACGATATGACGATATTTTGGGTGGAAACGACGAGGTTTTCGCAACGTCTTGGCCCCTTACTTTCTAATCGGCGTTCGTTTAAAAAAGGTCGATATTAGTTCATATCTAACGTTTCTCCATATTTATGCAGTAATCCTCATTTGTTAAATATGAACGAGGACGCTATTTGGTCCAATGTCTTCTTTATTACCTCCGTTAGTTGGTACCTGTTGATTAAAGTTCTATTGAACTGCCAAGCACATTATTATACGCCGTTGTCGTTCAGTGATAGTGATTCACGAATAAAGCCATCTTTGAAAATTATTTTCGCTGTTTTAAGCATATTTTGGATAATGTCATCGATCTCGAGCGCATGACGCATTTTTCGTTTAGGATGACGCACAGACTCGTTTTAAAAAGGTGACGGGACAAAAGCGACAAAAGCGCTGGGCGGGGGCCTGCGCGGGCGCCAAAGCCAAAGCCAAACCTGTACCTAACGAAGATCTCTGTGGGCTTGCCGCTGCGAGTGGCCACCCGGACACTCGTGGCTCCACAGGCGCTCTGGCCACTGGCTCACAACACCTTTATCGTATTATTATATATATAAACAGTATACTCATATATACCATGTTTGTGTAAGACTTAATTTGTATTTACAGGTATTTTACGGTTTAGCTTAAGGTTAACTCCGCACGTTTCGGCAAGCTCCACAAAGCCCTTTCCCCGTTCTTTAACAATTTACTATGAGAGATGTAATGTCGTACTCGTATTCAAATGGAGATACACAATTACCACGTTATGCGACACTAGGCTTTGCACTCAATACGTTGTACTTAGATGTGGTGGCGTGTTTTCATTTAATGGGATTTGCTTATACATGTGTTTTTTACGTATATTTTTACGCTTCTACATGTGTTGTTTACTTGGGTTACCTATTGTGAAAATTAAAATTTCTATTTATCTACCTACTTAAAACTAAATACGTACATAATTAAGTTTTAAACAAAGCTATTTAACGGTAGGAGTGAATTGATCAATTATAGTGTTTTTTTTATGCGAAAAGTTGTCAAACGAGCAGGCGGTTCACCTGATGTGAAGTGAATACCGCCGCCCATGGACATCTGATACACCCGAGGGTTACAGATGCGTTGACAACCTATTGAAAATTAGGCTCCGGCTACCTCACTCGAGATAGAGCCGTGATAGCTCAGTGTCCGGGCGCTCGCCTTTAATTCAATATGCTCGAGCAACCTGAGTTCGATCCCCGGTGCCGGCACCAATGAAGTTTTTAACTTTAAATGCTGACTTATCACGTGCTCCGCGGTGAAGGAAAACATCGTGAGGAAACCTGCATATTTTCGAAATAATAACAATATAAAAATATTTCGAAGATATGTAAAGTACGCCGATCCGCAGTGGGGCCGCGTGGTGGACTATGCCTTGATACCCTCTGTATAGAGGAGGCCTTTGCCCAACAGTGGGACATGTATAGGCTGTTACTTGACTTTACTTTTTACCTCACTCACCAGACGAAACGCGAAAGTATTTGTCATACTTCCACTTTACGCTGGTCTTCTGTGAGGTCGTCGTGTGAAAGTGTTCCTGTGGGTCAGTCGATGCACGGCCTAGGTGGAACATCGGGGGGCTATTAGTGGTGGAGTCCGCTATAACTCATCCTTGCTCCCGTAGAGATGAAATATATCCACTAGGTAGATATAAAAAACTTGGGAGTAAAGGAAAAACGTTATGTTACGTCTCCATTCAACTCTCAACGGATTTGCGGAATAATAGAGCAAAGCGGAGTTAGGCTCGTTTTTTTTTTAATAATTTACATGTAATTTTCTTTCAATTATTATATTTTCCAAAATAGTAAATGAAAATTTTGATACGATTCTTTCAATTAAAAGTATTTATATTTTTCCAATGCTATTTGCAAAATCATTCAGAGTTGAAGGAAAAAGTGTAAGAAGCAACTTTGTTCTTGACTGGCCGCACCGGCCCTAGCCTTTGATCAGGGTAGAGTTATTGACATTATTGTAGGTATAGGCATTGACTTTCACCGCCCTTTAGACGGTGCTATCGCTTTACATATATTTATCAATAGCGAAAATTTTCAAATCGATTTATTGCAAACATCAATACTTATTGCATTTAAATTAAATCAAGTAGAGATAGTTATTACAGACTGCTTCGTCCCTTAACATTGAGAAAGATTCTACTGCTACGTAATTAAATTGAAGTTTTGTGTTAACTTTAATTAGTATCTAAATAATCAAAGTCAAAGTCAAAGTATATTTATTCAATATAGGCCTATCCAAAGCTCTTATTGAACGTCAACAAAAAATCTACCACCGGTTCACTAAACTAGCCCTGCACAGAGAAGAACCGGAAAGAAACTCTGCGGTCTTGTTCTTTTTGTTATATATATTTTTTTTAATGCAATTATACACACTTATTTAGGTATAAAATCAGCAGCAGCCAGGGGTCTTGCAAGTGCAGAGCAAGAGTCATTTCCAAACATCCTTGTCCTCAATGTATTCTTGGATATTATAGTAGGCCCTTGCCATTAAAGTAGCTTTTACAAATTGTTTGAAATTGTTTATACTTAGTTGTTTGTGGATGTCACCTATTTTATTATAAAATTTGATGCATCTGGTTTTAGCCCATCTAAACCTCGGTACTTCCAGAGTGTCACCACGGCCTCCTACGCGATGTGAATTGTTTTTTTCGTAAATAGGTGGATATTCTTACGTACATACATGATGTTCTCAAGTATGTAAAGCAACGGGAGCGTCAAAACGTTTATTTGCTTAAATATATGCCGTAGTGACTCACGTGGACCCAAGCCACAGACGGCATAATAAATCTGTTATCTATGTAGGTATTGTAATAACTAATTGAAGAAAAACACACTATCACATTTGATACATTGGTCTAAATTCAAATAAAAATAAATAGATCTAATTATTACACTTCCTTCTTCTTCAATATCAAAAACGCTCCTCCTAACATAATTAAATAAGTATTTGTTGTTATTTTCAATCTATCACGAAATAATGAAATCTGTTTCCTAGTAAACTAAAACTGCCCGCGCCATCAAAATTTTATTTTATGTGAAAATGTTTTTTGGTGGCCCCTTGCTACCTGGCGCCTACAGTGACCGCTTCTCTTGCTAAACGGAGTTCCCCTACCGTATATTGTTTTTAAAAAGAGATGAAGTAAATTTTGACAGTCTTAGATGTCGGAGAATATGGAATATCGCGCCCTTTAAAAGAAATATTTTGAGTCGGTTATTAAGGTGATATCTACTTTTCTTTCTGTAGCGTTCAGGAATATAATCATGTTGGACAATATACACCGTAAAGGCAAATATTTTTTTATGGTATCGTTCCGAACTTAAGTGGCACCGCAGCTAAGCCCCAAAACTTTTGCCATGGCTGGGCCACGCAGCAACTTCTGCTATTGCTTGACTGGGCAGGCTAGAATGGCGAGCAGCATATTCTGCTATTGCTTGAATGGGCAGGATAGGCTAGGAAATACCTCGGCCTCACGGCAGATTGGCGTGAAGTGGAAGTCCACTTGTCCATAGGTCAGATGACATAAGCCAACTTTTTAAATCATGAATAAAGTAATCGATTCTCAGCAGATATGTTCATTGTTCATACGTTGCAGAACTTGCTTTGTACAAGTGTTACCTACAAAATATTGTGCGTGTCGGCGCGCAGAGCCGCGGCGGGGGCGCCATGGAGTGCGGCGTGGCGGCGGCCGCGGGCGGCTTCGGGCCCCGCGCCGGCGCCGCCCAGCCGCACGCCGCCCTCTCGCCCACGGAGCGCTCCCCGGCGAAGGCTGGCCTCCACGTCAACTTCAGCGACAAGGGAGAGGTGACCGCACCACACAAACACTAGCCACGCTGCACTATTCATGACCCCACTCAAACGAAATGCTCTGTATCAAATTATGCACCTATTATAACAAAGGACTCAATTTCCCACATTATTCAATTATTCAACGAATGTTTATGAAATATATAAAAAAGTGCAGTAACTTCTGTCGCATAGACTGCAATTATAACAACATTTTTATCGTATGGTGACAGTTAATATATATACAGCCCAATGTAGAAAGTTGTCAATAGTAAAGTTGTTCAAAGTAGTCTCCGTTCCTCGCTATACATCTTCGCATTCGAAGCAACCACGGAGAACAGCAGTGGGCCCATTACGCATTAAGGGTTTCTTCTACGGCATTTTCGAACGCACTCACCGCATCGTCAGGGTTCGTAAATACTTCGAAGTTTATCTTTGATTCTTGGAAATATATTAAAGTAGCAGGGCGCCAGATCCAGACTATATGGCGGATGACTCATTATCTCGACAACTGCAACAGACAAATGTTCAAATCATCGTTTCGTGGATTGCGCTGAAGTGTTGTCTTGTTGAAAGAGGATCCTGCTTAGGACGCTGTTGTCGAACATTTTTCAAAACAACAGTTAACATTTTACAGTAACTGTCTTCTTCCAGCACAACTGTCGCGAAGTGACCTTTCCGACCAAAGAACGTGGCAATCATCTTTTTTCCTTGACTTCTTCCTATCTTTACATTAGTTGGCCGTTCCTCAAAACACCCACTGAGCAGATTGTCTTTTAGTTTGTGTTTGCCAAAATATATTCAGCTTTCTGTGATGATGTTAAATTATTATTTTGGCTTATATTCCGAATAGTACGTCTCGTTTTCCAAGCTAGAAAAAAATTTTAATCTATAGAGAAATGTTAATAACTAAATATTATATAAGTTAGAATCAATGAAACCCCTAGATTATGAGGAAAAAATTAACAAAGTTTTTAAATTTCATACAACTGAAATCCGTCATTACTGTGCGTCCATTATTCATTATAGACTATTATTTTAAGTTAAAAACTTACGTTTTCACTTTTTACGTTGTAAGAAGACACAAATACACAGATATATCACAAAAACACAAGTTTCTACTTCATGAACATGTATTATCAACAATTTCTAAAATTTAAAATTTGTGACTTAGCGTACACTTAATGTCTCAAATATTAGGTTCAAAATGAGTCACAGATCCGACACAGAGCGATCCGACTCGGATAGGTTAGGTTAGAAGATTAAGCCTTAGACTTCGTTGTTAGGTTCTTTTTTTATGACCACCCAGAAAACTTTAGTGTAACAGTACTTTTAGTATTTTTAAAGACTCTTTTTTAATAATGCGAAGGTTATAATTTGGAAAAGTGTGTGAATTCGTAAATTTATACATGTTGTCAAACACAAATGGCGGATTTATTTAGTGAAAATAACAAGTTTTAAATATTTTTTTTTTTATTAAAAGTAAGTGTTTGCCTTGGTTTTCATGTATGTAATATTTAATTAATAACATTTCTCTATCGATTAAAATTTTTTTCTAGCTTGAAAAACGAGACGTACTGTTCGGAATTTTTACCATTATTTTAGATTAGAGTCACCTGTGTTGACCTTTTCTGACATTTCGCGACACCAATCCATGCGAAAGCGTTCTGGTCTTCGATCAAAGTGTTGGAAATCCGTCTGTTACAAAGCTTCCTGACGCCTAAATGGCCGTGTAATATTTTTTGTACTTGACTCATGCCAATGCTTAAACCTGCCCTAAATTGCTGGTAGGGCACTTTCTTATCTTCCTCTATCATGCGTCGCATAGAAATGATGTTATCTTCAGATGTCACTGTTGAAGGACGTCCCTCGCGCAAATTATCATTGAGATTGCTTCGCCCATCGTTTTAAATTCATTTTGAAGTGTAACAAGACTTTTTGAATAGCTACAACAAAAACAAATGACAAATCAATGCAATCACGTCAGATGACTAAAGGGTAACCTCTATTCAAACTTTAAAAGAAGTTTTCGTTGATTATATTTCTAACTGGTTTGTTCAAAATGTTCATTGTCACATTGGTGTTTTTCAGTGATAATGAATCAGTGTAGTTAGCAGTAAAAATATTTTAGGTAGTATCGGTACGGGTTCGAACAGATCAGTTTTACATAAATTTGTAAAAATAGAACATGTCGTTATACAACCCTCCACAATAATTTCCTCGTTGATAATGTTCTTTTTTTATTCTTTTTTTCTTTTTGTAAAGCAATACTCTTACTTTAGGATAGCATTATCCTGTGTTGTAAGGACGTCTTAGAAACATAGATTTCACGCGGACAAATACCCAGATGCGAAACAACTATAATTATGTCGGTCTCACAAATAGTTCTCCCGTGTGGGAATCGAACACACGACGCCGAAACTAATACCAGGGCAACTGCGCCACGGAGTCATCAAAAAATGTAATGGTAATTTATATAATTTATTTAAGCGAGGTCAGTGGATGGAAACTTTGATATTTAATAAATAATATTTCTCCCTCATTAAGAAACGTTGTAAGGATTGAACCGAAGGGAACCGTTCGTTTCAGGTGAAAGAGCGGCGGGAGAAGTTCCTGACAGCCAAGTACGGCAGCCACCAGATGGCGCTCATACGCAAACGGCTCGCCGTCGAGATGTGGCTCTACGATGAGCTGCAGAAGCTGTACGAAACGCCGGTGAGCGACAATTTGTAGGGTTTCGTGTTTCGATCAGGTTAGAAAACCTTGCCCCTTTATCTGCGCCGCACCGATGAGGCCTACTTGCCTACGAAATAATCGTGGCTACTAAACATCAACGAGTGAACTGGAACTGGAAGTGTCTGCCATGCCTATCCAGTCCGAGTGGCATTAAGCGACAAGCAGGAGAAAAAAAAGTATATTTGTTTATAATGCAATGTCGGCTTTCAGAAAAAAATCCAGTCAAACAAATATGATATCTATTAATGATTAATGAACGAATGAAATGTTCAGTTATTCGCCCACCTTATTGTCATATCAATGGACGGAGCATAAAATTAAGATTACTGTTGATATCTACGATACGACTTACAAGTGTAGACATATAAACATAGAAAACACATTATCTAATTTTAATGTTGCTTATAATTCGATAATGTGTTTTCTTTGTCATTATCATTATGGTTTGGCGATTTGGGTGATAACTGTTGTCACAACTTCACATCGATGGCTATTGCCGGCTTCCACCGATTTTGAACTGTGAAGTGCGTCCGCGGTGCAGGAGAGCGGCGGCGGGGGCGCGGGAGGGGGCGGCGGCGGCGGCGGGGGCCGGGGGCGGGGGCGCCTCCCAGGAGGTGGAGGTGGACATCGACGAGCTGCTCGACATGGACAGCGACGAGATTCGGCGCCGACACCTCACGGTACTTGCTTTTCATTAAGGCCTCAGATGACATAGAAACATACGACTATGTACTACAAGAAGCCGTTAGAACGTCTAAAAAATAACACGTGTTATTTCTTAGACATGCAGGTTACCTCATTAGATGGATCGAAACTGACTAGCTACCACTCTTAATCAGAAGTACGGGTTTAAATCTGTATCGCCAAACTATTATCGCCTTGGAATTTTATCGATGACATACATGCATAAATAATTGATAAAGTCAATATAATTTGTTATGCATTGCACCAGTTTCACGCCTATTTCTTACTGAAATCAAACTACCATCTTTGAATAAAGTTTTACATAAAATTTCCCTTTCTTTTAAGGGAAATTTTTTAAACTTTGTCGGTCACAGGGCTTTCTTCCATTCACTCTCCAAGGAAAGTCGCCTTTATTTACTCTATACGAGCCCGCGCTTCTGCATCGTTCTGTACAGATAAACATCCAGCCAAATATGCACCGTACATGCATTCTATGTAAAAGATGTTGCTGTTAATTTCCTTAGCATCGGCAGTGAAGACATCATTTATCGTAATAAATTTAACTGTGGCAGCACCACGCAACAGACTTCGTTGTTTCACGCATGGTCAGGTCCATCCGGTCCGGAAAGGACCACGACCTCACAGAAGACCAATGTGCAGTGGAAGTATTAGGTGTACTTCTGTGTTTCGTTTGGTGAGGGAGGTAGCCGGGTACACTTTATTAAAAGATGGCAACGCATCTTCAACCCTACGGGTGTTGCAAACGTCAATGGGCGGCGGTTATCACTTAATATCGGGCGAACCGCCAACTCCATTGCCACCTACTTACATAAACGTAATAATAATAATTACCCGCCGGTTTCTCTCCCTCTCACCCTAACCCTTGGCCGTTTGGTCTCCCCTCCGAGGGCTTCCGTCAGGTTGGGTCCTATTTATGTATTATTATGTACAATGTTTATATGTATATGTTTATTTTTATTTATAAACCCAACCAGACGAGAAAACAAATAAATATCCCCCCTCATAATAATCAAGAAAAAATTGTCTATGTTTAAGCGTAAAAATTCAAATATAAAAGTTTGTATAGACAACGTGCAGAACAAATGTTGATAATTTTGTTTCTAATGGGTTTCAACTCTCGACTTTTATTTTCTCATCCACTATATTGTACTATTTGCAGACGCTTTTAGCGGACGCCAAGAAGCCCCAGAAAGAGGTACATGTAAGTGTTCAAAAGACTGTATAAATAACATTCTTTCATTTTGTCGCTTCGTATTTATGCTTTTGTTATAATTTTTTAAGATCGTAATGTATACAGAATGTCATGTTTAATGCTCAGAAATTATTATCTCATTGCATTAAAATTGTCGAATAATTTATTCGAGAGCGGTAAAATAAAAACCAGCAGCTAGCAGATTGATAATGATTTACATTTTTAACTCTCTGTTTGTTTTTTGTTAATTTTTTGTTTTCTTTCTTTTTCAGAAATTCATCAACGAACTGTTAGAAAAGGCGAAAACTCTGTAGGTTCCGAGTTGAACGGAACCAAAAGTCCGTGAAGAGGACGGAGCGCGCGCGCGGCGAGAGGAGGCCGCTGGCGCCTCTTAGTTAGTGGTTAATAGGTCGATAATTAGGTCGATGGGCGATACCGAGCTCCTCCTACTCATTCGTAAGGATACCTTATGTAGATACTAGATATATTAAGTCATGGCGTGAGAATGCCCACGAACATATCCCATACTGCAGACGGGCCGCCTTCTTCCACCTTTTGCCTCATCGTTTCAATTATCAATCGTAATACTCTTTATACAATTTATACAAGAAGTGTTATTTGGATACGGTGTTTCTGGAAGATCCAACACAAATTAATTTATAACATGAACAGCGATAGATATGTGCTGGAACTTTTCTGTTCATTTGTAAATTTATCTCAGTATTTAGACTCAATAGCAATGTGTAAAAAGGTGGTACTTGAAATATTTTTTTTTGTAGAAACCTATGATGCTACATCGTTCTTTTGATGCAAAGGGCTAGTAAAATAAGTGAATTAGTGAATGGTATGAAATGAGAGGTGGCCACTTCTCGCTTCGTATGCGGGTGAGGTAGTGTTTGGCCCAAGGAAGGAGCTCCACACATTCAAAGCGTGCGCGGCCCGTGTGTCTTGTTCCTTTACTCTCTCCATTTCTCTACGTCCACCAACTATTATATAATATAAAGATTGAAGAACCGATTCTCGCTCGAGCAGCCCAGCTGAATTATCTTTAGACGAACCGCATGTGCGAAGCTCCTTTCGGAATTTGTAGACGATATGCAAAAGATTCGTAGTGCCACATGGCAATTGAGTGTTAAGCGACGCAAACTTGTGAAACGTGTCCACTAATATTAAAAACCCATAAAACGTAATCAGCTTTGTATAACTTATTTTATAGCTTGCTAAACTTGTGTCCTTGTGAGTGTTCCGTTCGGGTGGATCAATCTGGTCACTCGCTCTTACTTTCTGTACAGAGACTAGAAGAATGGCATTAGTCTCTAAGGGCCTAGTCAAGATTCTGCCGTCGAATAATAGAAGTTTTGTAATAAATTAATTTAATAGATAATGTTTTTAATATCATGCTCCTCGTCAAAACCCTTTGTTTATTTTTATAAGAAACTATGTTCCCTCTGAAATAACATACCAACGTTCCCGATATTTATTATAGACCACACGCACTTTGTAAAGCAATGGAAGTATTCTCGTTCCCTTCGTTACCAGAGGAACTTCTCCAACGCACTCAAGAAACGCACACCTCGCAGCTTAGCCGGTCTGACTATTGACGGACAAATGTGCAACCATATCCAGGAACTGATGATGTATACTTTTGGATTTATTACCGGAAAAGACCTAAAGATTTAACATCTGACTCCGAATCGCAGAAACTGAACGTTTCATAACAGACTAATTATCATAATAAAGCAATTACGGAACTTCGAAAATTACTTAATTTGCTCATAGCACAAAGGCTCTTAGTGGTGTCTTCATTGTGGCGGCCCTTAGAATATCGTGTGTAGCTAGTTAACCTGTGTTTAATTCATGTTTATTTTCGATCAATGATTTCTTTACGATTTTCGCTGTGGCTTAAGTCAACTAAAGCCTAAAATTTCAACAGGCATTTAGTAATGTAGCCACATGCCGCAGCTGTCTGTGTGCAGCTATAGAATCCAATATCAATGCAATACAACATGTGTTTGAAAATGACAAAAAATCACAGCAAAGTAAAAAAAATCGCTTGTGCACTTTGCATTCGTTGGATAAAACTCTCTACATGTTTTAATGTTCAATCTTAAGTGCAGAGATTAGCACTATAAAAAACTTTAAATGTGGAAAAAAATAGTTTTACCGATCACAATCACGGATATCTGTAATATCGTGGTGACAAAATCTATTAGTATCTACTGCTTTGAACTCTGGTTCAAAAAACCAATTAAACTGACTGGATTTGTTTATAGATTTATTGTTGAATGTTGGGAAGTACCGGCAAGAAAATGATTGCTTCTTTTTCCATCAAATCAGGTGATTATTGAGCAAACACTACGGGCACACAGTTTAGTTTCACTCAATACAATCACTTTAGCCATTATAAGCAACCGAAACGAAATTACGATAAAAACACTGAATGACTTTTACGACTTCTAAGTAAAATTATGATTAAAAAGTAACATTTGTATTTTGGGGAATGTTAGCTAGGTTGACAGGGTTTGCAAAGCGCGGTTAGTTGTATGGAGTGCACGCGCCTGATGACTAGTTGCGCGATGGCGAAATTCCGCAGGAGCCGGTCGGCGATGATTTGGGCAGCTCTTCGTAGGATGCGGTCAAGTTGTATAGGAGCTAATAATTTCTTCTTTTTTTTACTAATCATTTATTAAGTGATGTGAACCTTCGCGTACCTACGAAACTTGGATTTTGTCTACATTTTATAACCACAAAAAAAAGATAAAAATACCTATTTTGGTTTTGAGTTACATTTGTCCTTATCGCGATCGGAGGCCTCCTAGCCACTTTTTTTAGTTTAGAATTCAGCTATTTATTGAGTAAAAAAAACAATTGAATAAAATCAAAAGCAGTGGAGTCGCGTATATATATGCCCTAATACCCTCTGTACAGAGGATGCCTTTGCCCTTAAGTGGGACATACAGTGTGTCCTAGAAGTCGACGTCAAACCGAATTCATAATAGTTAATAGTAAAATATTATTATCTATCTATGTATATGTAAAAATTACAAGTATTTACGAAATAATCGAGAAAATCTACACTCTGTGACGTAATTTAAGTTCCTGTTGATATGAAGTTTAACTTTTTTTAAATCCTGAATAAAAAAAAAACTATTGCTTAAAATTTACAGTTCCAATCCAGAAGATATGTCATTTTCTCCCAACCATTAAACGGTTACACTGATGAAAAAGTGTATTAAGTACACGAGTTTGGCGAGTAAATAAAAAAAAATTAAAGAAACGCAGTCTAAGTTAACTATCCTTACCTGTCTTAAATGATTTTTGTGTACTTAAAATGCTTGTTTGAGTGAAACGGGAGGGAATCAGTTGACAAAGTGTGAGCGACTGAGAGAGTCATTTTACTAAACCTGAGTTTTAAATAGAAATTAAAAGTTTAATAGTGCCAACACTAGTGGATCTTGATCTCTTTACAATCTTTTTCTGACATATACTGTATGATCAAATTAGTTTTCTTATCTAATATTATATTTTCAGATTGCTCATCATCATTATTATCTACTATCTAACATGTTAGCAATAGACTCTTCTAGACTCTGGCGATGTTCTTTTCTGACAATATTTGGTTTGCCCTTATTCTATTTGCTGTGATATTTACTTCATACTCCAAAGTTGTACGTATTTTTTTTTCTTGTATGAAACAAACACTGAGGAGTTCACCTTTGACCCACATTGTTAGAACTAATATAACAATGTGGCTACATGAAACATTTTCTTATCAAATTCGGATTTTCCTGAATATAAAGTTAGGATCTGTGTCCGTATCCGTGGATCTATAATTTTAATGATCCGGAACATCACGAGTAGGTAATCTATTTTCGTAGTACATATTATTTTACTAATACTTTGCAGCTATACTCAACCTGCCGCCCATCGCACTTTTGTGATTGGCCCATCTGCTGTTACTTTGTTTTATTTTGTTATGGAGAAAAGGGGAAAACAAGCAGGAGGCTCACAGAATGGTAAGTGATTACCGCCGCCCATAAACACCTGCACATACAAATGCTTTGCTGGCTTATTTAAAATATTTTGAATGTCGCGCCCATCAGAAAAATTGAGAGCCGCTGAGTAAATAACTTTTACTTATATCCGTAATGCACTGTATTTTTTTATTTACAGCAGACGTCTTATTGTGTCATTTTAGTATTTCCGTAAATACAACAAATCGTAACGAGCGTGTGACACTGACACCGCAGGAATCCCCTTTGGCATCCGTATCCATACTTCCATGTTTTTAAAAATAATATTTTTAGTTTGGCGTTCAAAATAAGATGATATGATTATAATAGCCGGGAAATAGCAGCTTAAATCCCAGCCATTATTATTTGCTAAAAAAAGACTTAAATACGATGCGAATCAACTATTCGCATAGTTTTATGGCAAAATTTACAAACTTTAAGGAATTCTCTGTTGATTTAAAGAAAAGTAGTAAGTATATTTGCACTATCGAAGGAAGGGCTTTTACAAGTTAATATTGCGGCGATCTTGAAGATATTATAGTGTAAGATTTTTAATGTTTTAAAAAAGTCCAGTGATTATTTGCCTAACATTCTGAATGTCAATGGGACAACTGAGATTAGCCACAGTAAGGAGATGCCATCGCGCGCTTATAAATTAACGCGATTTTTTAAGCCAAGTCACTGTTCTGGAATATAGCAGTTTGCTGTACATTTTAAGCAACAGTTTTGATAAACATTATTCAGGATTACATATAAAAAAGTTAAAAAAAAAAGAGTTAAGAGACTGCCGTCTTGGGTTGATTTTCTCTAAATACATGTAAATCAGATTCCAACAGTCCAGCTTGACGTCGACTTCTGGGTCTGTATATAGGCGGCTGTTACGGTCCTTTTCAACAGACTTCAAAAAATGAGGTGGTCCTCAAATCATGGGAATCAGGTTTAATATTCACCGACCGATTACCCAAAGATATCTGAAACGATTTGGGAAATTATATTGGGATGGGTATATCTTCCATGTAATCGCATATTAACTTGTTCGTTCCAAGCGCTTGCGATATCCTCAGCGCAGAATAAATCAATGACATTTATAAATCCCTTTATTCTGGATCACGGTCTTTTCAGTCCATACGTTTGATAATTTGGAGCGTGCTCATTCCGTTTAGTTCCATCATTCAAAAACAGATGACGTTGTTTACAAAAATATATCGAAACTAATTTTATTTAGAAACATAATATTTACAAGATTAAATCTATTTAAAATTTCAATTTCATACTATCTAATAAACCTAATCCACGCGGCATGGTGGCAAGAACGCTAGCTGCATTTCCTCGCTGAATAGTTATGCTTAACCTTTGAGCGAGAAAAGAACCAACTCTCTTGTCACCAGCCATGGCGTTAAGCCTAGGACATAAACTTTTTAAAAATTTTGATGTGCGTGTACCCCACGGACAAGTTTCAATAGCAAATGGCACAAATACATAATCTAAATCTGCCGCTCCAATGCCGCCCCGGCCCTGACGAAGTACCCCATAGACGAGAGGCAGCCAAAGTGTCTATACAAGTGGCGTCCCAAACAAGGGCTTTGCCTCTCTCCCAAGGGATCAAAGTTAAACCGTCGGGTCTCTTACCATCGTCGCGAAAAATGCCACAGGGCTATGTAAATAGATGGAACATTGATGGGAACAAGAGCCCTACGGATGATGTCGTTCAGGGAACCATGGCGGGAAAAGCGGCCAGCACTTTTTTGACAAGCCCGTGGAGACCAAAGGAGACAATTTTTTGGGCCCATTACATTTCGGGGGCGATTACTAATTGCAATTGTACCAAATGAAAGCATAAACTTAGTACTTATAATAAACTAGCAAAAAAAATACACTTCGTTCTAACCGGAAAAACAAAATAACATAAAGAATGTATGACGATCCTTTAAAACGCCTGTCGTTTTGCTCTTAGAAATGTTGTCGATACTAAACGATTACTCATTAGCAAGGACCCATCAGTGTCTAATACCCTTGCCTCTATAGATTCCTATTGTTGCAACTGTTAGGTAGAAAGGCGCACTGTCGGATGTTGTGCATAAGTCATGTCTGTTGTGTGCTTTTTAGCTTGGACACGGAATCAAGATGATTTTGAGCTACCCGCATCGTTTATGGCTATTCAACGTGACAAGAGGCGATTTTGAAAATGTTAATGTAGGTTTAAACAGAGAAATAATCATTCATGTGTTAAGTGGATTGTTTTTGACTGTTGTTCGATATTGTTTTATTTTGAATTTATCATTCCTGCCGTGCACGGGCACGTTTTTTGCCGGTGTCTTGTTAACTATAATTGTTTTTGATCGTGACAAGTATTTTTACACCAGAGCTTATTCAGTCATTTGACCTCCAACTTGTAAAATATGAAGAAAGTCGGAAATCACTTCATGTTTTGCGTTATTATATCAATAGTTGTTGTATATTTTTCAGTGTTCCGGTAAGATAATAAGAAATAAATATTACCACTATAATCTATAAGGAACAAATAGAGGTAAGTTTCGATAGCAAAAGCCAGAATTTGTAGTGGGCCCATCGTCCATAGAAAAAGAAACTGTCTCCTTTAGAATTTACTTTTCGGGAAACCATTAAGTTGCATAGTTTTGTAAAATCATTAAGAAGTGCGCAGCACCGGCAGAAACGCTTACAAGATCTTTCAGATGTTCTGGCGTTATACCGTCAATGCCACCAGCAGAGCCACTTGAAAATGATATAATCCCTCGAAAGTATCATTTGTGTAATTTGCAAAGCCTGATACGAAGAATCGTGAGGCAGCGGTAAGATCTAGAAATTCCCCAGATAATAGCAACCGATCGAGCCGAGATCCGGCCCTCTCGGGCACCCTCGAATCGGAATGCCAAACGCGTGTTGAGTGACAGCCCAAGCCGAGGTCCCCTCTCGGGGACCCTTGAGCCTGATCACTCCATGGAGCGCCCGCCAAAGCGCCCTGAGAGCTTGACGGCCTCCCAAACCGGTGATAATAATAGCGACGGCCCGAGCGGAGGCTCCCTCGGGAGCCCTCGCGCTTAGTCACCATAACGTGTAATAATAATACGCCGATGTTCAGGCTAGGCGCCCCGTGCGCCAGGCCACCACAAGCCCGTCGGAACTGTGAAGGCCCCTAAGGCCAACAGTGGCTCATCCAGCCCAAAACAAAAAAAGGCTGCCTTTTTTTGTTTTGGGCTGGTAGGAACGGCGGATGATTGATCGATGGATGCTTTTGACGGAGGTTTTCTAGTCTCATCATTATACGGAGCGAGGATGTCTTCTGAAAATAAAATGCGCGATGCATTTTTAAATCACCGTCCATAACTCTTAATCTCTCTACAGTTCTCCTTAAATCGAATTAACGAATTTTTAAATTGTCTAATAATTTAAGATCACTTTGTACATCGTCAACTTTACCTCCCAGCGTACCAGATATTACGCGTCTAGGTACCAGACATTAAGTTTAGATTTCGAATTTGAAATAATTGGATGAATTAAATAATGTTGAACCTAGCGATCTCCCTGCTGAACGCCGACAGCAGAATCAATAATATTGTCTTCATAAAATAAATTACTCTCTTCACTGTAACATTGCCAAACATAATGATATATTTCTGGTGTATGGTTAACCACTTCGTTCAGCAGAGTCGTTCTATCAATGGATTTAAAAGCATTCCTTAGGTCCACCTTCAGAAGTAATCCAAATCACTAGTATTTAAAGAAGTTCAAACGGAATGTAAAGCCGCTTCACAGGCTGGGATTTTGTTTTAAGACCGAAGATTATATGCTTGCATGCAAATTTTGAAAGTTAATCGTTTTAATATCAATTTTACCTTAATATTTAATTTACTTTATCCAAAAATAAAATCCAGCAAGTTTGTATACAATTACGGTTTTCTATACAATTTTATTAAATATAAATTAAAAAAAAATTCATATACACTATATAGAAAACTGTAGTTGAATAATGCTCTCAACTATTAAACTAAAATGGTTAATTAGTATAAGTTTTTTTTACATCTGAACTTGTGATTCGGTAAAGCATCAAGAGATGGCACTGTCTCACGAGGACTGAACTATATAATGTACTCTTTGTTCTGGATAGCAAAAAAAAACTAATGCAATTTTTTGTCACAGTAAGTATGCAAAGCTTGGATGTAGGCCTTTTTATAATGGAATTTTGGGTTCGTAATGTTATTATGCGAGTGATATTATCGTTTCCCGGATGTTTAGCAATAACCCAGCCAAGGAGCCATCTACTTGGAGGTAAATCTTTATCCCTTACAAAAACAACCTCGTTTATATTATGTTCCAAGGTTTGAAGTCCTTTTGTATCGATGAAAATCTTCGCCAAAAACTGCATAATTTTTTGCGTAAAGTGCCACCTGCGCAAACTAGATACATTAGATTCATAATTATCATCCGGAACTGTGACGAAAGTTTACATAGTAAATGGTTACGAATTCAAACATGTCTCGTATTTCAATTAAAACCATTGTTAGCTCTTCAGAGTTGCAGAATATAGGTACAAAAATCAGCAATAATATTTAATTCTTGGACATGGTTAGGCCATGCCCTGGTACAAGTGACAATAATCAATTATTTTGTATACCACAATAAAAGTAGGTTTGGTAAGCAAAAAAGACAAATAGTTTATTTGTTTTATTTATAAATAATGTAGCATTAAACATTGTTCAATTAGTATTAAGAAGTAAAAATCTTTAATGGTGGAGACATAGTGTTTATTTCAACATATATTTTAAACTATAAGAGTAACTAAGTAAAAAAAAAATTTCTCGTGTTTTTGGTTAATTGTAAACTGTTATATTTACTTTTTAATGGTTCAACAAAAGTTATATTCAGTATCCCTGTGTTTTTATTTACTATAGTTCATCTACAACATTTTAGACAAATTACTTACAGATAGGATAGGACTGATATTGGAAAATAGAAATTTTGGGGTGTCAGTGTAATGATAAGTAAAAGAAGTTCGCGTAAAAGATAGTTCAGGTTTGGTCCATAGGTTCGAGGTGCGCGTCGAGCGGGGTGTCGAGCGGGGTGTCGAGCGGGGCATCGAGCGGGACGTCGAGCTCCGCCGAGTGAGCGCAGGGCGGCGGCGGCGCGGCGAGCGGCTGGAGCGCGGCGCGCAGCTCGACGAAGCGCCGCTTGAACTGCAGCCCGCAGCCGCGCGAGCGCCGGAACTCGAGCACGACCCGCGCCTCGCCGCCGCCCGCGCCCCCCGCGCCCCCCGCCACCGCCGCGCGCACCGCCCACACGCGCATGCGCTCCTCGCCGCCGCACTCCACCGCCAGCTGCGCCACACACACACACACACGTTCGGCTCACACAGATCCACGGTACTCACGACAATCCCGGAAAGGACACCGCGCCTCACACCGTACCATGCGCGGGTGCAGATAGCGCCAGCGGTAGTGGCGCCTCGAGAGTTCCTCTGTGAGCTTGGCGAGCGCCTGCGCCTCGTCGCAGCGAACCCACACGCGCGTCAGCCGCCGCACCAGGCGCTGCAGCACGCCCTGCGAGGCAGAGGGGCCGTCACTCGTCGCTCGGTGGCAGGCGTGGCAGGCGTGGCAGGCGGGCGCTCACCTGCGGCTGCGTGGCTGGCTCCGGCGGCGACGGCCAGCAGCAGCTCGTCGGGCTGCGCGGGCTGTGAGTAGCTGAGCAGCGCCCGCATCTCGGCGGCGGCGGGCGCCCCCCGCCCCGCTCCGCCCTCCGCTTCGCAGGCCGCCGGCTGCGAGCACCACGGCCGCCGCGCGCTCTCTGCCGCATACATGACCCAATATAGTGCACATCGATAACTCCTTACAAGTCGAACCAAACGACCTAAGATATGTAACATTGAAAAATTTATTTTATTAGTACACTGCAGTTTTCTTTCGCAAACATTCTTCTACGCATGATAGAAGCATTTTAGCAAAAAGAGTCACATACCTACTCAAATACAGCGTGTCGTTACCATCGCGACATTAAATTAACACAGGTCTCACACTACTTGCCAATAATCATAAAAAAATATCAACGTTAAAAAAATCCATAATTAAAAAAAAAAAATTCAAACAAACTAATTAAGTGAAAAAGAAACAAAATTTGTAACACCTGTACAACTACAACTAACTGATTCATACATTGCCACAGCGTTGCATTAAAAGCCTCTTCTCCTAACAGTATGTTTTGTCTCTTAAATTCATTCAACCCATTCATATGCTTTGTGACCTTTACAAATGAACTTTACGTTACAGTTTTATATGTAAGGGTGTTCTAAAATTGTTTGTTTTGGAAAATTTAATAACTGTGTAAATATTGATACAATTTTACTACAATTTTAAAAAGTTATTCTCTATGTGTGTTCATTTATTGTCGCGATTGTGAAGACACGCTGCATATAAACCCTTAACTGCATTTAAAATGCAAAGAAAAAATACATTATAATATTACACAAATTAGCTTTTCAAACAACATTAATAGTGTTATTAACCGTTGAAGTCAATACTTCTATGCACAAGCTATTGTTCAAACAAATATAGTGAAACCGGAACAACTGGTATCTTATGATAATCCAATATTTTTTCATCTGTTAAATAGCTAGGTTTAAAATGCAAGTTGTTTTAAGTGTTGTGTAATGCTAAAAGGATGACAAAAATAAATTCTAAAAATTTGTGAAAAATGTTGTTTAATAAAAACTTATAAAATTATTTTGACACTACATACTACTTACTTTTAACATTACAATGGACCAATACATAATTATCAGTATTATATAGGTTTCTCACTTAATGGGACCCCGATTAACCAGATTATTCATTTGTTGCATTAGGATTTAGGTACCTACTTTTTACAACAAATGAATATTTTAATTGATGTTGCATGGATATATTCTCAGACCAATAAAAAAGTATAGAAAAAACATTGGCCTGATATGAGGGAGACATAATATGATGACGCTTCAGGCATATGAGGACGGCCGCTTCGGATTCTGCCGCGAGTGACAGTACATGACGTAGTTTTAATAAAATAATAATAATTACGAAACTATGCCATCCTGTATTTTAAAGAGTTGCAAAAATAATTTGTTTCCAAAAAAAGTGTTTCAGATTACTTATTTTATTATTTACTTTTCACAAGTAACAAATTTTTTGTATAACTTAAATAAAATCGTAAAAATCTTTAACATAATTCCGGAAAATTTTCAGAACACGAACACTAGACGCTATTGTGTTAAAGTGTGATCTATATGTGTTAAAGTTTCGACTTAGAACATTATCTTTACCCAAAATCAATATCTCTAATATTTTTCATGATTTGAACAATTTCTTAAAAATGATCTAAGTACATATATATAGTTTGAGTTGATGGCAAATTATTATGTAATGATAGCAAGACCAAATTATAAATTATACCTGATAAACATCCCATATAAATTCATACAACCATGACAATAAATAATACCCAATAATGAAAATTTTTGCCAAAGTATATTCTAGCACTTGGGAGTTGCATCACAACACTTACATTTTTCTCTAGCACATGATAGACATTATTGTAACATTTTGTATGTTAAAAATAATATTAATAGTTATCTAAAGAATAGTGACAGACATAAACTAAATACTAGAAATAAGGACAAACTAACTACGCCATTGTTTCGTTTACAAAAAGTAAACAGGTCGTTCATGGGGCAAGGTGTGCGCATGTATAATAAAATCCCACAGTCGATATTAAGTCTGCCACTTGATGAATTTAAACGAAAAATTAAAAGTAAACTTATGGCTAAAGCCTATTATTCTATTGCTGAATATCTTGACGACGCCAATGTGTGGGGTTAATACTGTTGATACTCACGTAGGCTAAAACAAGACTATTGTACATGTACTATTATATTTGTAAACTGATTTTTTTTTAAAAAGAGCAACTGTTGAGTTTCTTGCCGGTTTCTTCTCAACAGAAACTGCTTTCCGAACCGGTGGTAACTTACGAACGTGTTCATTTCTTGTAAAATTTTGACGTTTCATAAGAACGCGCAAGCGTCTATGTGAATAAAGATATTTTTATTTTATTTATTTAGACACATGTCTATCACACAAGTGTCACTTACTCTTACAGCTATTCACACAAAGCCATCATTAGTAGTCACATAATTTATATAAATTGTTTGCGACAGCTCTGTCTATATTTTTTTATTGGTGAAGTGATTAATTTTGTTGAAGGAAAGATTTTTTGATGTAACAAGAATTGCAAACGAGTTGGTGTTTCATCTAATGTTAAATGATAATAATCACCCATGGACATCTGCTCTACACCCTTAGGATTGTAGATGCATTGCCAGTTTTTAAATAAGTGGGCCCAATTTACCTCACTCGCCAAACTAAACACAGAAGTATACTTCCACTTCACACTAGTCTTTTGTGAGGTTGTGGTAATTCCCTGGACGGACCAGCCCATTCATGCAACAGTAAGACTGTTTTGAGGACCTACCTACCTACCTACCTACAGAATATACACAATAAAGTCCTAAAAAATCAACTTGATAATATAAAGAAGAGTATTATTAGAGACAACATTTTATAAATAAAGTATTCGGATACGTATCGAAATATGACGTGTAGGCTATGTGCAGCTCTATTACTGTATTTTGAACATTTTTTAAGTTATTGTAAAACAATGACAAAGATCTTAAAATATAATTTATTAGTCATTCCTGCTTAATTCAATGTCAAAGATCTGAATGAAATCATGAGAAGCATATTGTAATCTACTTTACTTATAAAAGAATAAAATAATATACAATTTATGATTAGCTACAAAATAATGGTCTACTATGTATTAATTTCACTTGAGAATAAACTGACAACTTACTCGTCGTTAGGGTTAACGGAATAAATGAATAGTGTCCGGTGCAGCTCGAAGAGAATAAGCGCCGCGGCGCTGCTGGTCGGTCGCATCGATGGAGTTGCGCGACGCAATGCTTTGGTAATCTAGCTTTATGAGCATTGACACACGTCATGGAGCTAAATCGCCAAAGGACCGAGTCGTCGCAGTCGCGTCGAGCCGCGCGCCCCTCCGCCGCCCGCGGCCGCGGCCGTGCTGAGGCACGAGGCAGCTCTGAGACCGGCGCCACTCAGAGTCACCTAGTACCTGACACGGCCGGCGCCTCGCCCGCCCCGCCCCGCCCCCGCCCCGCCCCCGCGCCCGACGAGGCCCTTACCGGCGGCGGGAGGTGCGTCGCAGGTCCACGCGTCGCGCAGCAGGCGCGCCAGGTCGGCGCGGCGCGCGGGCTCCGGGCGCAGCGCGCGCCGCAGCAGCGCTCGTGCCGCGCCGCGCACGCGCCGCCACGCCGCCAGCGCCGCGCCGCTCGCACCGCCCGCGCCCTCCGCCGCCGCCGCCGACGCGCGCCGCCACGCCGCGAAGCGCGGCTCGCCGTCGCTGGCGCGCTGCCACGGCAGCTCTGCAAGCGGCGACCCACTGTTACAGCAACAACTGCGAGCGCCGCGAATACACGCAGAGACCTTACCGAAAAACGTCGTAACAGAAAGTCCGAAGCGAGAGACGCGACCCGTAACTTCGGTACCGTAACTTTAGGGGTGGCGTACGCCTACAGCTAGGATACCAAAGAGACGGGCCGCGGCGTTGGCCTCGTTCAAAACGACGCCTGAGCTTTCTCTACCGTAGTCCGTGGATATTATTATAAAAAACGGTTAACTATTGATTATCAATCTGCAATCATAAGGCACACTTATGGTAAATAAAAAAAATACCATCTAGAAGGTTTCTGGCGCCGGATTAAGTTTTTGATATCGTATCATAGCATATTTATTTTTACATATTTGTTATATCGAATATAATTACTTAATTGAACTAAATATATATTTACTTTAGTCTTTGAACACAAACGACAACGAAGAGCAACAAAAACCTTGGAAAACAATGTCAATATGTCAATTAGAACGAGACTGCCCGTTCAACTCACCGCCGACCAGCATGGCGAAGAGCACGACGCCAGCGGACCAGAGGTCGGCGGGCGGCGCGCGGTAGGGCCGCTCGGCCGCCGCCAGCACCTCGGGCGCCGCGTACGGCAGCGTGCCGCACACGCGCCCCAGCAGCCGCTCGCGCGAGCCGTGCCTGCGCAGGACCGAGCGCCCACCTGAGCCGTCGCTACCGTCGCCCGGCGCGGAGCCGGCGCGGCGCGTCGCCCACTCACCTCACCTGAAGAGCGTGGCCATGCCGAAATCAGAGATCTTGATCTGGTCCTGTGAGTCGAGCAGCAGGTTCTCGGGCTTGATGTCGCGGTGCGCCACGCCCCGCGAGTGCAGGTAGCCGAGGCCGGCGAGCAGCTGCCGCCAGTAGCGCCGCGCCGCCGCCTCGCTCATGCCCACGTCCGGCTCTGCGCGCGGGCAACGTTGCATATCGTACCGGCGGCATGTTTCACACTACTCTGACGTAGCGACAGATCGATCGGTGCCCGGGGAGGCGGTGCAGGCAAGCGGAAAGAGAGACCGATGCGGTCGAACAGCTCGCCGCCCTGCGCGTACTCGAGGAACAGGTAGTGGTGGTCGCCGTGCACGCGCTCGCCGAGGCAGCGCAGCACGTGCGCATGGCGCAGCGCGCGGTGCAGCGCCGCCTCGCGCGCCCCCCCCGCCTCGCCGCCGCCATCGCCCCCGCCGCCGCCATCGCCGCCGCCGCCGCGCCGCAGCGTCTTGAGCGCCACGCAGGCGCCGGAGCGCGCGTGCACCAGCAGCCGCACTCTGCGTTCACGCAACACTTAATACATTTAATATAAATTTATCATCAACAAGAGCGCAAATATCGATGTTCAGTTGTTAACAAGCTTCATAATACAGATTTCCAACGATGTAATTTAGACAGTAATCGAGTTACTCCTTATTCCGTTGTATATGAATACAGAATGGAACATCTTTAAATGAACTGTTAAGTACTAAAAATCTACATATTTTAATACTTTCAAGGTGTCACAAATTTCAGTTCACGAAAAATTAGTGAAACAAACTTAAGAAACCACAGTTCAGTATAAAGCAAGAGCAAAATAAAATTGTAAGTGACCCTGTGCATCTATCGATCGTGCCGAATGTTGCTATACGATGCTCAACGTAAAGATTTTAAGCAGAAAACGCTATCGATCATAGAAAATACCGTGTAGGGCTTGGCAACAGCTTCTGCTGTGCACTAATGAGCACGCTCATCCGGGGAAGTACCATGGCCTGACAGAAGACCGGCCGTAAAGTGGAAGTAATAAAATTTCGTGTTTCGTCTGGTGAATGAGGTACCCACTACCGAGGGCCAAGATTTTTAAAGGTTGTCAACGCATTAGGAAGCCATCGGGTGTTGTAGAGGTCCATGGGCGGCGGTATTCATTTACCATTAGGTGAATCACGCCTGCGTTTACAATGTAATAACATTTTGAAGTTAAACTCTAGATTTTGCACTGTAGGCGTTTCCCATAAATATTTAACACCATGGTTAACTTGTCTTGCGCAAGAACGTCGGTCCGATCCCCACTATTGGAAAAATGTTTTGCTCAATTTGGTACCAGATAATGTTTTGTGTATGCAATAAATAATATTAATTTAAATATTTCAATGACGTTCTGATTCAATGGAGATCACTTGACTCAAAGTCATCAAATGACGTATGGCTAAAAGAGAACTATTATTATTTTTATTTAAGAAAATATTAATTTAATTATTATTAAAGAGCCTTATCACTGTTTTTAAAGAAGTTCAACACATTGCGATGATGAGTAGTTCTTTTCTTAGTCATATAGACAAAACTAAATAATAAAATTGATTTTGAAATAGACTTCCTAATATTCATGGTCACGTTTTTTGAATGTTTCAAAAAACCTAACCAATCGTTTTTAAATCATTACCAATGCGACTTTTTTATTCCGGTAACATCCATGAAGGTTCAGAGCTTTTGTGGATGTACCTTTAGGGCCCAAAAGTATATAATATTGTTTGTTTGACATTTAATCAGTTTATAATGGCTCACTGATTGAAATGAATTTGTAGGAATCGGGTGGAAAAGAAATCAACGGCGTAATTAAACACAACTTTCACGTAAATTCAGCAAGACTAGTTGAATGGAGCCACGTAGGGGCGTAAGTTTGCTATTGAAGGGCAAAATTGCAACAAGCGGCAATGTGATATGCAAAAGCGTGCGCCGAAAATACTGGGCCGCAGAAAAACAAGCGGGCGGCGGCAGTGACCGCGCGGGGTGGATAAACTTTCAAGGATGCGCGCCGCGGCGGTCGCGCCCGCCACGGAGCCGAGCCGAGCAGCAGCCTCGCGCCTCGCGCCCACTCTCTACTCTCTGCTCACCTCCTGCCACGCTCCCCAACGATACCATCACTCCCTCTACACGCTTACATGGCAATTTTTTTGCCTAAATAAAGTTTTACAATGGGGGCAAAAGTTAAGGCCATATGTTAGGATTCCCCTAATCCTAGTCATTCTAGCACAATTACTACATAGCTACAACAAGCTGTGGCTCATCTCTTACTTCCAATGAAAAAGCAGAAACGAATTTAATTACTTATCCTTATAATTATGTATTTCCATTCAATTTGAATAAGTGTCTTACTTTGATTTATGAGTATGTGTCTGAACAAAGTTAGTATGTGTCTTCTAAAGGTACATGAATAAAATCTTAGCTTAAAAAAATTTACAAAGCCATTGGTATTCTTGGTTCCTCCTTTTACATGACCGACCCTTTTAGCTTATAGCATAATTTGTGTTAAAGAGGAGTATTTTTTATTGTGTGTTAATTGAATAATGCCGGTTGATAAAAACACCATGGAACACTTACTCTCCGTAAGCACCTTCACCAAGAACTTGCGCAACTAGCCATCCTTCCACGAACTCACCACCTGCAGCCATGGTGCGCCTGTAATAATCCGCACTGTCAGCTTTTAATGCCATATGACCACGCCGCGTCTGCCGTAGTTCGGTGCCGTCAATTTTTTTTTGCACCGTCTAATAAAACTGCTAAAAAATTAATAAATCAATAAAACGGTAGTACACTCTCTGCGTTATTGTAACTTAACACGTCAAAAACACGTAAATTAAAGCGAAAATGATCCTAAATGGCGGAAGGCACGTGGACTTCGGCGAACAAAGCCATTGCCGAACGTCGCCGTCGCCCAGTCGGCTGCCTCACCCGATAACGGTAATCGCACATCCGAAAATACAGAATTAGCGAAACAAGAAATTTGCATAAAATAAACGTATTACTTGAATATATAACGAAATACAACTAACTACTAACCTTTCTAGCGACATCTGCACCATTTAGCCATTTTTCTTTTCCCTTCCTTCTACAAATCGTTCACCAATCCCCGTCCAACCCGAGACCGCGCCATCGTTCCATTCGAGCTCAGTCGGCAATTTTTTTTGAATGAAAAAGATCAATGGTTGCTAGCGTTCAAAAACAACATTTGTAAAAAAAAAATTAGCAAAAATTTTATTACAATATAGTAGTAACAACAAATACAAAAAATATTCTTTGTTTTTCCTGATATTTTCACATTAGTTAATTCCATTGCTTTGACTTGACTTTTATTAGCATAGTAGGAACCTTTTCTTATTTTGAAGCAATTGGAAGTTATTTAAATTTAAATCTATTTTAGATACGTTCAAACTTTGGTGGTATAATCACATCACTGCAAACCGTTTCGAATATTAACCGTAATTAGCTTAAAACTTAGTGTGATATAGATTTATGATGAGACTACTGCTTTATATTAAACTTAAAACTTATAAATTACATATTATATATGCAGAAAAAATATCCTGATAATTATAAAATAATTAAAGATTTTAATGGTAACTATATTAAAACATTTTGTTTTAAAATCATTCAATCAAATCAGTTTATTATATCTTTTCGGTGTTGTCATAATAATAAAACAATATTTAATTTTTAAAATACCTAGTTAAGATTTAAAATTTTAAACAGATAATGTAAGAACATTTCTCAAGTTATAATCGTTAGTATTATTTTAATTTAAGTAGAAAACGGGTTTTAATACAAGCACTATTGTAAAAATCCCTGATTCGCTTAAACATCGGGCGTCAGCTTCAGCTTATATTGACGTCTTTGTTTGTATTTGACAGTTCAGGGGCAGACGTGAATTACATTTTTGTTTCCATTTTCGTGTGAAATCAATAAAATCCTTATCCTCACCATTATGGTAAAGTATTCTTTACTCTAATCTCTCTTCTAATACTCGAAAGTATGTTAAAGTTGTTCTTATTACTTAATATTTAACCAAACCTTCTTGTTTTAGGCGGGCTATTCAGAAGATCAACTAGCAGGTGAGTCATACTCTAGAAATGCTGATTAGACAAGTTGTGCATAGTTTTAAACTAATGAAATAATGAAAAGAAATACAAGTTATTGTATTTAAAAAAAAATTGATGAATACGTATCGTACGGCCGAGGGCGCCGCGTCGCCGTATGACTGTGACTCATGTCAATCAACGTTACTACCGAAACGGCGTCGGCTTTTGCAAGCGCCCTAGTTTCCTTATATGGTTTGTATTTTAAAGTAATTCTGATCGAGTCTGCCCGATCTCGCGACTCATACAGTTCTTCGCCGTGCGTCGTTCTTCCATCATGTTCATGTACGAACCACCAACTAAACTAAAGCTTACTTCTGTCGAAGGTATATTTAATATAACAATTGTACACAATAAAGTGCTCTGTAATAATGATCGCCTTTTGTTGCAGAATTCCAGGAGGCTTTTCAGCTGTTTGACTCCCGTGGTGATGGAAAAATTCATGTAGCACAGATTGGAGATGCATTAAGGGCTCTAGGACAGAACCCAACTGAATCAGATGTAAAGAAGTGTACTTTGCACCTGAAACCTGATGAAAGAATATCTTTTGAGGTTTTCTTGCCTATTTATCAGGTATAAACCCACTTATAAAAATATTAATACATGAAACTGAATGTGGTACATTGTGTGTGTGTAATGTAGTTTATACCTACATTAAAATCTAAAAAAATGTGACCTATTAATAAAACCTGTTTTCCAATTAGTATAATGTTGTTGTTCTTGAAACACATTTAACTCAGATAAGACAATGTTTTTTTCTGCAATTCATTTAAGTAATAATTAAAAAGAGCCACTTGTGTATTTTGTTGATAAAAGATGTATTTATAAGTGTTAAACTTTTTTGTAATACTAGATTTGTTTCTAGGCTATCTCCAAAGCACGCAGTGGAGATACTGCAAATGACTTTATTGAAGGCCTGCGCCATTTTGATAAGGATGGGAATGGTTTCATATCATCAGCAGAGTTGCGCCATCTCCTCTCTACACTGGGGGAAAAACTGAGTGATGATGAGGTATTTTCATTATTGTATAAAATATGTAACTGGCATAAGAAGAATAATAATATAAATATAATATTATTATTGTTAAATAAGGGTGGAAGCTTGTAGGATCAAACAATGCTTGCATCATGAACCATTGTTTGTCTGTTGAGTGAGGTTACTAGAAGCTCACAATTTAACTAGGCTGCAACACCTACAATCCTCATGGTGGTAAAGTGGTTTTCACTTATAATTTCACTTGGTACAGTTCATGGCTTTCTTTTTTATGTGTGTGGAAACAAGCTGGTGGTTCACCTGATCTTAACTGCTGCCAATGGACATTTGCAACACCCGTAGGGCTCCAGATGCATTGCCACCCTTTAATAAAGTGGGCCCCAGCTACCTCACTCACCAGACGAAAGGCAGAAGTGCAACACTTCTACTTTACGTGGGTCTTCTGTGAGGTCATGGTACTAACCCGGACGGACCTGCCCATTCGTGTAACAGTGAACTCTGTTGCGTGGCCCTACCACAGTAAAATGTTTGTCAATCTTTGTAATATATATATATATATATATATATATATTATTTATATATATATATGTATGTATGTGTGTATATATATATATATACATACATATAACTTGCTTTTAGTTTTTGTAAATGTGCAAAACAGAATTTGGTAATTTGAGACCTATAATGCATAGGTGTTAATTTTACAATTTTAATGTATTGCTTTTAGGTGGAACAGCTGCTTCAGGGCCAGGAGGATTCTCAAGGTAACATCAACTATGAGAACTTTGTTCATCTCGTCATGCAGGGCTAGGCCAACATAATTTTATTTATTACTTGTATTAAGACACTTATAATTCCCACATATGATTTCCATTTTCAATGAATATTCCAAAATGTTAATGTAGTTTTAAGTAATTTTATACTAATTTAATGTAGGCAAGTCGTTGTACAAATGTATGTGTAACAATAAAAGTAAATATATAATAAAATATTTTGTTTCCTTACCTCATACCTTTTCTTTTTATTCTTTATGTATAGAATTGTTTTTAATAGCTCTCTTTTAGGCACATGAAGATGACAAAAAAAAGACATATTTAACTAAAACTAGTATTTGACTTATGCATATTACAACGAAACTGTAGAAAATGCAGGGGCAATACTAGTGTTTTTAAAATTCATCATGACATTCGCAGCAAATTTGATGAAACCAACCAACATAGATCAGCAAATGGAAGTAATTTTTGATCTACATTAAAGACCTTCCAAAAGCAATAAATTATGAGGATACTTTAATCATTCTGTTTGCTGATCGTGCCTGTTTTGATAAAATTCGAACATATTACCGATGTGAATTTATTGTAACAACACAGAAAAATTACTTATTTAATCTGCTGGGCTTACATACTGATTCAAATATAAACTGGAAAACAACTTTTAATTATTTGAAAACTATGCAAGTACTTTACCTCCTCCACAGCATTATCTTCTTACTATGCCTATGGCGCATGACCTTTGTATAGTGTAATATTATGGGGCAATAGTGTTGCCGCTCAAATCCTATTAATCATCCGAAAAAAGTGCGTAGCGTAAGTATTGTTTGCCATAATATATCTATTATACAATTGTCATGCTTATATATCCAAATAAATTAAAAATGTTACTGAATTACATACCAAAGCTTATATCTAAATTGAAATAGTACTTGGCAGAAAATCTATTTTACTCGAAAGAATATTTAGAACAATAAGATTAGAAATTCACCTTATTTTAAATATTATCATAACATATTTACATTGATGAAATTATGTTATAATGCTAATGATTTAAGTAATTAGGTAAATGTCCATAAATTGCAGATTGTAGCCCAATTAAGCCAGTGCTTGTGACTTTTGATGCGATTTACTACACCGTTTCGAATATTTCTCTAGCGTTACATCTAATTTTTCCGGAAGAATAAGCCTTTTCTTCTTGTGACTAGATAGTTACTTTGTTTAGGCAGTAGAGTTAAAGTAACTTATTTCAATCTCCGTCTTTTTATTTAGCAATCAAGGAGCCCCGTAAAATGAATTGGGTCCCGATCCTGACTATTAATAGTTAATTCTGCATAAGAATTTATGATTTTTTTATATCGATTAAAAAACTATTTTAATGGTGTAGTTGTTCAGTATTACTTTAAACAACATTCTTAACTACTGGGATAATTTTTTTCTTTTTGGTTTTTACTATTTCAGGATTGATTTTTTTTATATTCTTTTATTTTAATCTTTTTAAGAAAATTAGCGAAGATGATTGTTTACTTGGCAACTTTCAAAATATTTGTATATCCTAAACTGTTATTTTATATGAAAAATAATGAAAGGAACCCAAAAATAATTTTTAGATATCTGTTCAACGGTACCCCACTTGAGCTCGTCGAATATTTTGTTTTTCATTTTAACAAAATAGCGTCTGGTTGTCAATTTGGTGAATTTTGATTAGTATCATGTTTTTAATGACACTCGCAAGCGTAAACGCAGTGATTACATTCTCTCTACTCGCAAGGTAAAGCCCGGTTTCTGAAACACTGATCATCGTAGATGTCAACTAACCAACTTGCAAATGGTTTTTCAATTTTCATTTGAGAGGCAACTAAAATGAAATTTGAAAAGCCATTTGACAGCTTATTAGTTGACATCTACGATGATCAGTGTTTCAGAAACCGGGCGTAAGACGAATCAATTGAGTAAGAATCATCAAAATGGGCCTAGACGTTTGGTCTCTACAACGCCACATAGGAACAAACATACATCTATACTTCTATATCTATACTATTATATAAAGAGGAAAGATTTGATTGTTTGTATGTATTGAATAGGCTCCGAAACTACTGAACCGATTTAAAAAGTTCTTTCACTGTTGAGAAGCTACATTATACCTGCTTGATATAGACTATATTATATTTTCAAAAAAATTAGGGATCCTTACTAAAACTACAATAATGTTACTCAAGGTGTACAAAAATTACCTAGAATATTCTTTACATCGCGTGCGCTGCGAAAACTATTGATGATAGAATAAAATAATGTACGACGACTTTGCAGAACACATTATTTTTTACAAAAAGTGTTTTATTTTAAAACTTTGATTGAAATGCCGCCGCTAGAAAAGGCTCTTTATTTGTATCTAGGTATTAATCCTTATAAAAATAAATTACTTCTTATTTAAGACTGTTTCAATATCTTTATATAACTTTTTGAATTATCGAATTCGGACATTCCGAAAGATATCACAAGTTTATAAATGTTGAAAAATTGTTAATTGTTAAAATTATTTAACAATCCAAACAGCTTAGTGACTGACTTAGTACTTCTTATAATTTCTTCAATCACATTTTTAGTGGTAATTTCTGTTCAACATCATTTTAAAATGCCCAAAGCTCAAGATCTCATCTTTCTAGAAAAAGTTCCCAAGCGAGGGCATCAAAAATACGTCGTAATGAAGAATCTTTACCGGAAACTGAAAATCGTCTTACAAGTCGGAGAGAGTCAAGTACAGTGTTTGCAGTGGCTTGAAGAGCAAAATAATATAAATATACATATTCACACTAGGGAATCGAGCTCTGAGCGTTTCCAACGTCGACGAGATTAGAGAGAAAGACAACAAATGTCAACGACTAGATTTCGTAATCGAGTTTTAGCTCACAGTAATAGATCAGCTTGTTTACATTATGCTCAACAGTCTTCTGTCCAATTCGAAGCCATGAATAAGATGTGCTCAGTGTTCTACCTAAAAATGGGTCGATGAACCAAATGGTATGTGCTGTGCTTCTGGAAAAGTTAGCCTCCCCAATATTGAGAAGCCGCCACAGCCAATAAAAAGTCTTTTGATAAATCATTCACCATCTGAACATTTTTAACCAACATCCGAAAGTACAATAGCCTCTTTCAAATGATTCTGTTTGACGCGAACTTTTAAAATAGAGGTCAAGTATACAAATCATCATCATCTTCCTGCACTTTTCCCACCTAGGTGGGGTCGGAACAACATGAATCATGTTGTACACGGTCTTGGCCATATTTTTACAACCAGCCGCCTGCCTGACGTTAAACCTCCTTGGGAAACAAACACCCAGATCAAATTTCAACTGTGTAACTATTACGGTTCATGAGATACAGCCTGTTGACAGAGGGACAAACAGACAGCGGAGTCTCAGTAATAGGGTCCCATTTCTCCTTTGGGTACCGAACCATAAAATGGCCCCAGAGATATAGTGCTGCACGGTAGACACGGACAACTTAAAAGGTTAGATCGATAGAGTTACACCGATTGCATGATCCACTACAATATCCCTTAATCATCGTAATGGGAAAAGACGGTTATTATTTGACTATTCCTCAGCAAGGTACAGTGCGTAGCAAAACTGTGACATGCATGCAATTGCATTTAGGTTGATGGTTAGAGCTACCTGTTTTAAGCCATTGCATTATTACTGGGACTTTGGATTAGGGTTTGACTTGGGATTAGGGTTCGGTAACCAAAGGGTAAAACGGCACCCTATTACTAAGATTCCGCTGTCCGTCTGTATGTCCGTATGTCTGTCCATATGTCACCAGGTTATATCTCATGAATCGTGATAGTTAGACAGTTGAAATTTTCACAAACGATGTATTTCTGATGCCTCTATAACAACAAATACTAAAAAATAAAAAAATATAAATAAGTGGGGCTCCCATAAAACAGACATGATTTTTTTTGCCGTTTTTATAGATAATGTTGATCTTCTTGTATCTAGTGTTTTTGACAATATGTAAGTGTAATACTCCTATACTTCCATATTGAATAAAGATATTAAAACATTATTTTTTTTAATGGTGATAGAGTGGCAAACGAGCTGGCGGTTCACCTGATGTTAAGTAATAACCGCCGCCCATGGACTTTTGTAACACCTGTACCTCTCTCACCAGACGAAACGTAGAAGTATAACACTTCTATTTTACGCCGGTCTTCTGTGTGGTCGGTACGGAACCCATCGTGTGCGAGTCTGACTCGCACTTGGCCAGTTTTTATTCAATACATTGTCGATATGATGGCAAAAAGATATCATAAAGATTGAATATACATATGATGTCGTAATCACCAGAGACTGAGGGCTGGTTAAACATTCATCTTAGAGACGCTTTAAATCAAGACATTGGCTCATCAAATATCGGCCAACAAAAAAACCAAAGATGCGATGATTTATGTCCGAAGCTATGGGAGACCAGACTTATTTGTCACTTTTACGTGTAACCCCGAATGTCCCGTAATTAAAGCGGAACCATTAACTGGTCAGCGGTCTTTCGATCGTCATGACGTAATTTCAAGGGTATTATATTATATTCATATGTAATACTAATACTAGTATTCATACTATTCAATCTAATCAGGAGGTTGCCAATTTTTTCGAGAAATTTTTTGCTGACATTCCTGTTTCTACAACTAAGTCACTTCTCTCTTCTCCGACAATTGCCGAATCATTACTTAAGAAAAATGTTATGGAATGTAAAGAAAACTTTAAGTTTACTACTGTTAATAAAGAACGATATCATAAAAACATTCAAATCTCTAGATATTAAAAGAACTGCTGATCTATGGGGGATCTCTGTCAAGGTGATCAGTTCTATAATTGATGTAGTCTCACCTTACTTAGCAACTATTTTTAATATTTGTATTCAACGTGGCGAGTTTCCTGACCTTATGAAACATAGTAAGATTATTCCGGTGTTCAAATCTGGTAGTACTTCTGACCCCAGCAATTTTAGACCTATTTCAGTACTACCGACTCTTAGT